AAATAGCCAAGCAGAGGATTTAGCAAAACTCAAGACACATCAAAACAAAATGAACAAATAAACAAAAGGACAACCAGACACACAAGCACACAGATGCACTGAAAATCAGAAACAAATAAACAAACAAACAGATAAAACAACAAAAAAAGACTCTAATAGCCTGATATAAGCACTCTCAGCAACCATAAGAGGGGAAGAAGAGGAAAAGAAGAAAAAGAAATAGTATTGATAATAATTTAAAAAAGAAATTTTAACAATAATGCCTACAAGAAAGAAAAGAAAAAAATGCAAAAGAGCAAAAAAAAAGAAAGAAAAAAAGACATAAACTACAAAAATTTTATTTTTATATATATATATAAACATGTGACTATATGTATGCCATAGGGATCAACTTTAGTAGAAATATATTTATGTTGCAATATACTTTATGGACACCAGGTGGCACCATGAGTGGTTCCCAGGCTTATACCTGATTCACGGTTTACACTATTTTTGGTGTTTTCCTGGCTACCCCCTTGGCGCTTAGACCCCTCCTAGTTGTTGATTCCACCCATCTCAAAAAATCTTCACAGGCAAGTTTCACAAAATCTCTCTGCAACAGTTCCCATGAAATGCGGAGTTTTATCCTGAAACTGCTTTGGGGGCAGGATGTCTGCCTGAAGGTGAGGCTCAAAATGCCACACCTGGACTATCCTAAAATGTGCCTATAGCAGTCTTCATTTTTGAAATTTCAAAATATGTCTGCTTCCTAACCAGGATCCTTCCCGCATGAGTGTCTCTCCAGCCACCTAGCCCTGGTGGTGCCGCTCCAGATGGCACCCCTATCTGACTGCCAAATTCAACTCAGAAGTCCACACTTTACCAATTTTTTCCACACAACACCTAGTTTCCCCACTAACTGGGAATTGCAATCCTCTGTGGGGAAGAGGCTGGTTCCTGCCCCCACAGCTGCTTCAGCAATGGCATAGAATTTTTTCTGGTAGTCTCCACAGCTCCAGATTACACTTTGAGCAATCCACCACTTCCCTGCACACCCTGAACTGCCTGTCCACACCAATATTCCCCACTGAGAATGATCTAGCCCACTCACTCTCACCTGTTGTTCTGAGAGAGCTGAGCTAAACGTCTATCCTATCCACCATCATGCTCTGCCTTCTAGACCCTGCCGAACTGTTGATTTCACTGATCTCAAAAAGTCTTCACAGGTAGGCTTCACAAACTCTCCCTGCAACAGTTCCCGTGAAATGCGGGGTATTCTGGACCAGTTTTGGGTGCAAGATGGCTGCCTACAAGTGAGACTCAAATTGCCACACCTGGCTGGTGGGAAAAAGTGCCTGTGGCAGTCACCATTTCTGAAATTTCCTTATCAGATAAATATAATGTAAAATTACAGTGAACTATTACCTCATGCATCTTAGTTTTAAAAACAAAGAAAGTTCTATCATTGATGATTGAATTAAAATGGTAATAATACAGTTATTAATACATTTAAGAATAATGTATTGCTATTAAATTTTTTAGGAAAATAAACAAAAGGGATTGCATAAAACAAGAAAGCTCTTGTACAGTAAAGAAAATAATTAATAGAGAGAAGTAGAACCTATGGACTGGGAGGGAATATTTGGAAATCATAGGTCTTAGACTCATGGACTCATATCCAAAATATTGTTGAATATTGAGATTCAATATAAGAAATTCAACTCAATAGCAAGAAAATTAATAACACACTAAAAATGTGGGCAAAGGATCTGAATAGGTATTTCTCAATATGATACATACAAATAATCAATAGATATATGTTCATTATCACTAATCATCAGAGAAATACAAATTTAGTCCAGAATAGAACATTATGCCCCCCCCATTAAAACAGCCTTTATTAAAAAGGTAAAAGGTAAAAACTGTTGGTGAGGATGTGGAAAAATGAAACTTTTGTGCACTGGTAGTAGTAATATAATTTTTCTTTCCTGAGAAGAAGGATGGGACATTTATTACTTTGCTGACAAAAGAGGGAAAATAAAAGATTGTTTCAAAATACTGATTTTTCCTCTATATAAGCAGAAATCCTGACCTATTAAAATGGAGGGACTATTGTCATCCAACTATAGTTAATAATTCTTACTGTCCCGCCTCAGAGGAAACCAAAAACAAAACCATTACCTCCACCCACCTGGGAGGCCTCCATACCTCTGCTAGCCAGGCCAGCCTCCATGCCCATCTTCTGTAGTGCACAGAACAAAAGACATTTCCTTTCCCCTTCCCAAAGACCACTGCCAGAGGCAAGGATACAAGTTTCAGTTCTCAAAAAGAGTTTTAAAGAAATAGAAAACATTTTTATGGTTTTACAAGGGCATTTCCTCTGTTACATGTTCCCCTCTATCAATTTTATATTTCACTATCTATGCAGGGAGGGGCAACATAGTCTGAGTTACTTCCTGTTGAACATGTATTAGATGGAAGGTTTATACTTATGTACACATGTCAATGTAAAAATTGTGGCAGTATATTTACAACAATAGATTACCAGGTGAAAAAGTCAAAAGCAATTTATAACAGGGAGGATTGACAAGTCAAGATGGACTAGATTCCTATAACAGGGAGGATATAGGAATGGATGGATTCCTATAATAGGGAGGATTGAGAAGACAAGATGGACTATTACATGACTTGGCTGGAAAGAAACAAGGACCTTGGAATATAGAACTATTGGTTCCATTCTGTAGGTGATCTAAGATACCAATTTATACAAGTTCAGAAATCAGATACAGCCTGAACAAAGTCTAGGATGACAAATCCAGTAGCAAGAAAGGTCAACAGTCTTAAGACAATCTAAAGTAACTGTTTAAAGAAAAGAGAAAAATGAAAATGTTGATATATTTGCTTTTTCTTTGATTATTTATTCCATCAATGGGATGGAGAGACAACTCCTCAGTGAGAATTTTTTCAGGCTATCACTTATTCTGTTGATCTATCCAGCTACTGGTAATACAAATTAATACAGCCGTTATGGAAAAACACTATGGAGCTTTCTCATAAAACTAAAAGTAGAAATACTGTAGGGCCAAAAAATTCCACTTCTGAGTATATATCCAAAGAAACAGATACCAGGATGCCAAAGAGAGATATGCCTTCTCATGTTCATTGCACCATTGTTTACATAACTAAGATAGGAAAGCAACCTAGGTGTCCATCATCAGATGAATGGCTTTAGAAACTGTGATATATATATATTATCCAGCCTTATAAAAGAAGGAAATCCTGCCAGTTTCACCAACATGGATGAAACTGGAGGACATTATGTTAAGTAAAATAAGCCAGTCATACACAAACACCACAGGATCTCACTTATATATGGAACATATAAAAATTGAACTCAAAGAAGTACAGAGTAGAATGGGGTTTACCAGAGGCTGTGGGAAGGGGGAAATATTGATCAAAAAGTATAGTATCAGTTAGATAGGAGGAGCAGCCTTTCATGTTTATCACACAGAATGGTGACTATAGTAAATAATAATCCAATGTATATTTCAAAATTAGTAAGATTCAAAGTTTTTTTTTTTTTTTTTTTAATCACAAAAGGAGTTGGGTCCAGTGGCCCATTCTTGTTATCCCAGCACATGGCGAGGAAAAGGTGGGAGGGTCTCTTGAGGCCTAGAGTTTGAGACCAGTCTGAGCAACATGGTGAGACCCCATAACTAAAACAAAACAAAGCAAAACAAAAGAGAAAATTTAGCTGACAAGAGCTTGATCCTAGGAGCTTGAGCCATGTGGTAAACCATGATTCCACTGAATAGGCAACAGAGTGAGACTCTATCTTCTAAATAAATAAATATAAAGATAAATATGTGAGATGATTTACTTTTAATTAATTTGATTTAATCATTCCACAATGTAAACATATATGAAAACATCACATTGTATCCTAAAAATATCTAGAATTATTTGCCATTTCAAAATAAAATTAGAGGCTCAGTGCCCATAGCTCAGCTATTAGGGTGCTGGCCACATACACCAAGGACGGTGGGTTTGAAACCTGCCTAGGCCCACTAAACAACAATAACATCAACAACAACAACAAAGCAGCCAGGCATTATGTCAGGTGTCTGTAGACCCAGCTACTTGGGAAGCTGAGGCAAGAGAATAGCTTAAGCCCAAGAGTTTGAGGTTGCTGTGAGCTGTGATGCCATACCACTCTACTGAGGGCAACATAATGAGACTCTGTCTCGAAAAAAAGAAAAAATTAGAAAAAAGAAGAAAATTTCTAAGACCCCCAAGAAGTAGGTTTGAAACATTTTCACCATACACATGAATGATAAGGATATGAGGTAATGAATATGGTAATAAAGTTGATGTAGCCATTCTACTATGTGTGTGTGTGTGTGTGTGTGTGTATGTATATATATATATATATATGTATAGATATACACATGTGCACACACACACATATGCACACATATGCACACATACACATATACACACACATGTATATATATCAAAAAATCATGTTGTACACTATAACTATATGATTTTTATTTGTTGGTTAAAAATAAATTTTTTAAAAATCAAAATTTTAGGAATAGCTATAGTAGTGCTTAAAGGAAATATTTAACTTTAAATGTTTACATTGGAAAAGAAGAAAAACTAAGACATGGCTTCAGTCTAAGAAAAAAATCTGAGAAACTTAAGGAGAAAAATAAATAAAAAGTAAGTAGAATAAATAAAACTTTAAAAATAAAACAAAAACATCATGCAAATAGAAGGTAGTCAATAGTAGAGAAAACTAATGAAGTCAAAATTTGGTTCTTTGAATTGAATTTGGTTCTTTGGTTCTTTGAAATCAAGGAAGTTTATTGTAGGTAATTATTTCTCAGAAAAGTTCATTTAAGGAAATGCATTCATCTAGACACAGGTTTTTCTTTTGTCCAAGAACTAAAGTATATATATGCTTTTCAGGTCTTATTTTTATTCTGTCAGAATCTTATTTATGCTTAAGTACTCACCTTCTTGATTTGCCTGTAGATACCAAAGTAAATGTATCTATTGAGAAATGCTCGTAGTCTCCACAAAGTTGTCTCCCCAAGGAAAATCAAGAAGAGGCAAAGAAAGCCCATGATACTCATAATAATCAAATACTTTCCAATCATATTATTTTCTAAAGAATATATATTCTTCTCAGTATCTGAGAATGGCAACAAACCAAAACAAAACAAACAAACAAGAAAACAAGAGAGTTACTTACTGCACAACATCAATACCATGAACAAGGGCTCAGAAAATAAGTAAGAAGAAATACAGGATAAAATGAAATATTAAGCTAAATTGAGACACAGTATTTATAGGGTGTGATTATCCTACTACAAAAATAACATTTGAACAATGGATGTTGAAGGCCAACATTCATTAATATAATGGATAGTAATCAAATAAGCATATGAATATTAATATATTTATTTATATGTATGACATCTGACAATTAAGTTCATGAATTTTACACTGTGTGCTTACATTGGCAGCAGTGTACCAAAAACTCAGTAAGGTTTCATAACCTTGGTATATCAGTGTCTCACAATTACGTTTGTGTGGGTGGGTGGAGATGTCTTGCTGAGTGTTGTTCATTATTGTTGTTGCATGTTTTCTGTGTCATTACAAAAATCTTGGAGATTAAACTAGAGCAACAAATAAACATTTGTAAATTTCTTATTAAACTTGGCAAGACTGGAAGTGATATCAGAGACAAGGTTAATCCAAGTTGATGAGGATAATGCCATGAAGAAACCATCAGTGTAAAATTAGAATTAAAAATTTTTCTGAGGGGAGAGAAAACATTGATTAAAACAGGTCAGCCTGGCCAAAAATTCATCAAATTATGTGTCAAAATCATTGGTTAACTTCAAGAAGCATAGCAGACCAAGTAAACATTAATAGAGAAACAGGAAAATTTTACTGACAATCTTTGCATGAGAAAGGTGTGGCTCTTGTATCAAAACAATGCACCAGCTTACATAGCACTGAGAGGGAGTTGTTAACCAGTTAAAAAATAATTTTATTGGTACACCCTCCCCACTCACCTGATCTGCACCCCCAGTGACTTTTCTTTACCTGAGATAAAGGATATATTGAAAGGAAAACATTTTGATGACATTTAGGACATCAAAGGTAAGCTGAAAAAAACTCTAATAGCCATTGCAGAAAAGGAGCTCCAAAATTGCTGTGAAAGGTGGACTAGCCATAGCTTCCCAAGGGGAGTGCTTCAAAAGTGATCACAGTGTTATTCAGCAATGAGGCATGGAGCACTTTTTCTAGGATGAATTCACAAACTTAATTGTCAGATTTCATGTAATAATTATTGCAAGCCATGAAAAATATACCCCATATCCTTTCAGAGCTGTGAAATGTATAATTAAAAGTAAGTTTTAATGGTACATATATTCTTGTGATACAAGGTAAAACTGACTATTAGCTGACACTTTTTTTTTTTTCAGTTTTTTGGCTGGGGTTGGGTTATGAACCCGCCACCTCTGGCATATGGGGCCAGTGCCCTACTCCTTTGGGCCACAGGTGCCACTCAAGCTGACACTTTTTGAACTTTCTTCTCAAATGTACAGAATTCTATTATAAGAAAATCAAAATTCTATCCCTGTTAAAAAATTTCAGAATAGTTTACAGAAAAACTACAAGAGTACAAGGGAGACTGAGGCAGAGGCAAGATGGCAGACTGCAGCCAGCTTTCCACAGAGGTTCCATCCAGAAGGAGAGTTAAAAAACAGCAAGTAAGCTGATGGTTTGGAGCTGAGCCAAGAGAGAAGGTTGAAGAATGCACAACCCTGCTGAGGTGAACTATGACCCCAAGGAAACAAACAAAAGGTACAAAATCCATTGCCAAGTGGACAGGAGTCCCTTACCCTACGAGAAGGGCTCTGCCATACAAACAAGCGAGCAGAGTTCCAATGTCCTCCTATTCTATCCTATGGGAGATACCCTCTAAAAACTGGACCTCCCCCTACTAGGGTTCCGTGGCACTCTCCTGCCAGGCATAAAACTGTATAAAACTATATATACTCTACCTGCAATTCTGAACTCCTAGCACTCCCCTCCACTGTCACCCTGAGGTCTGGAAGCCTGTCCCCCCTGGAGTCCAGATTCTTGGGCTTTTTCTTGAGAGGTGTGGATGGGGCAGGGGCTATTGTTGGTCTGTGTTGATTCAGTGGCATGGGAGTAAGGAGAGGACAGCCAGCTGAGAGGGAAGCATACAGGAGTGGCGGTGCTCCAAGGCACAGAGCTAGAGCCACACCAGCAGGGACAATAAGGCTTACACTCCTGGTGCTATTCTGGACAGACACATCCTGTCTCTCTGGGCAACTGGCAGAAGCCAGGCATCTTCTCCAGTGGCAGCCACTAGGCAGAACATATCTGAGATGGAAGCACAGGCCCTGTGAGTAAAGGAAGGCCTGAGGTGGTAGTGGCCTGGGCGGAGAGCGGGGACTAGAATACACGCACACAGAGCTGGCAAACTCCCAGGGTGGGGCTGAGCCAGAGGACTGCTTTACTGAGCCTAAGACACACGTGGCCCTCAGGGGATCATAGCTGAGACAAAGGCAGGCAGGCAGGCAGAAGCTGGAACTGACAGCTAAGTGTGAGCTCTTACTGCTGCCACTGCCTGGGGCTCAGTTGCAGTTTCTGTCAACTCAAGCAGCGTCTGATCTGCAGGGCAATATAGCCAGGGCAGAAACATATTGTGCAAAGTTGTTCTCTCCAGTTCTGCCAACAACATCAATAAGGGGTGGGGCTGGAACTGAGTGAACTGCCCCAGCCTCCATTAAGTACCTGAGATAGTCAGACCTCATCTCCCCCTGCCAGATAGTGGCAGAGAGCAGCAACTTGGCTCAGGACACATAGATCTCTCTGTGACTCAGGCAGTCTTAAACCCCTGGAGCATCTGCTCATTGGAGGGAACTGGGTCACAGTTCTGTGGGGTTACCAGTGACTGGGTGTGAGAGAGGTACAAGGTGGAGAAGGAGGCATCAACCTTCCCAGACTAATTTATTTGCTGGGTCGGTACTTCTGACCTCATGGAGCACCGGAGCAAGTCATACTTGAGCTGCCAGCAAACCCCTGCTATCTAGTTGCCGGAGACCTTTTGAACTCTCCTACCTGAGATCGGTGCTGACTGGGACAATTGATTTGAAACTCTTAAACTGGGCCAATCACCTGAGGACTATTCAAAGTAGCACCCTAGGTGTGTGGCTGTGGGAAGGTTTGATTTTCCTTTTCCAGTTGTTGCTTGTGGGGGGCGGGGTGACTTAATTGCTAGTATTTCTCCACAGCTGAGATGTCAACTCAGAGTAACTGATTCACTAGGATAGGACAGAGACCAGCTGAAAACAAGACAGAGCCACTTAGCCCCACCACACCAAGCAGACCCCCAGTTTCTCAGGCTGTAGCATTGTACGGGTCCTTGGCAAAGCTCTAGGGGAAAAGCCAAATGGAATAAAATAACCATGGGATGGAATCAGTGGAAAAACTCCCATAACATGATTAACTAGAATAGATCAACCACCCCAAGGAAGGATACAACAGATACAACTGAAGATCCCATTCATAAACAGATGGCTAAGATGTCAGAAATCAAATTCAGAATTTGGATTGCAAATAAGATTAATAGAATAGAGGCAAAGTTGGAATTAGAAATTCAAAGAGCATTCCAAAAGTTCTCTCAAGAATTCAATGAATTCAAAGACAAAATCACCAAAGATTTTGACACATCGTGGCAAGAGCTTGCAGCACTCAAAGATCTGAAATATACAGTAGAATCCCTCAGTAACAGAATGGAGCAGGCAGAAGAAAGGATTTCTGACATTGAAGACAAAGCTTTTGAACACACCCAAGAGCTCAAAGAGGAAGAGGAATGGAGAGCAAAAACAGGTAATTCTCTCAGAAAGCTCTGGGATAATTTGAACTAATATTCACATTATAGAAATCCCTGAAGATGATGAAGTTGCTTTGCAAAGCACAGAGGCTCTTCTTCATGAGAGTATGAAAGAAAACTTTTCAGACATGCCAAGAGATTCTGAAATTCAGATAGCAGACAGTTTCAGAACCCCAGCATGACTCAACCTGAATAAGACATCCCCCAGGCACGTCATTATTAACTTCACTAAAGTTAATATGAAAGAGAAAATTCTGAAAGCAGCCAGACGTAAGAAAACCATAACCTACAAGGGGAAGAATATTAGAATGACTGCAGATCTCTCTGCTGAAACCTTTCAGGCTAGAAGAGGGTGGTCATCGACTTTTGATCTAAAACAAAATAACTTTCAACCCAGGATCCTGTATCCAGCTAAATTGAGTTTCATTTATGTGAGAAATTAAATACTTTAATGACATCCATGTGTGGAAAAAATTTGCCATAACTAAACCAGCTCTCCAGGATATTCTCAGACCTATGTTCCATAATGACCAGTGCAATCCTCCACCACAGAAGTAAACTCACTGAGAAATTTTTGATCAAATTCCAACTTCCACAGTGGTAAAAGGATTAAAAATGTCCACTGGTATTTAGATACCCAAAATTTTACCAGGCTTATCAATATTCTCAATTAATGTGAATGGCTTAAATTCTCCCCTAAAGAGGCACAGTTTGGCTGATTGGATACAAAAACTCAGGCTAGATATCTGTTGCATACAAGAATCTTATCTTACCTTAAAAGATATAGTCTCAGGGTGAAGGGATGGTCATCTATATTCCAGGCAATGGAAAGCAGACTAAAGCAGGGGTTGCAATTTTATTTGCAGATACAACAGGCTTTAAACCAACAAGAGTAAGGAAGGATAAGGATGGTCACTTCATATTTGTTAAGGGTAATACTCACTATAATGAAATTTCATTATTAATATTTATGCATCCAACCTCAATTTATAAGAGACACTCTAGCAGGCATGAGCAACTTGATTTCTTCCAGCTCCATCATAGTTGGAAATTGTAACACTCTTTTGGCAGTGTTGGATAGATCCTCCAATAAGAAGCTTAGCAAAGAAATTTTAGATATAAACTTAATCATTCAATATTTGAATTTAGCACACATCTACAGAACATTTCATCCTAACAAAACTGAATACACATTTTTCTCATCAGCCTATGGAACACACTCCAAAATTGATCACATTTTAGGTCACAAGTCT